ATTTTTATTTACCGTTTAAATTATAAAATATATTAATTGTTTCAATACATATACAAAAGAAAATTGTTTCAATATGGTTCTACAGTGATGGGCAGAGTGGCACCACCCTACTCTGTATGTGGGATGGATGTATGGTATTTGAACCCCAGCTCCCGTTCTCGCTAGCTCCTACTAAAAATGTAATGAGATTAATAGGTGATTGTCTTTGTTTAAAAAGAAAAAAAGTTTCAGTGTATATTTTTCTTGATAGATTGTTTCAATATATATTGACGTAAAACAAAATTTTTCTTTCAATATATAAGAGAAATAGAAGTAGTTATCAGCGAGAGGATTAGTTATATAGTAGTAAAAGTTAAGTTCAACTTACATTAGTGGATAAATATGAGATTTAGTTCATAATATTTACCATAAATATTAAAGATTATCTCAATTTTTAATTTAAATTAGAAATAATTTCAGACCTTTCTAAAACCATCAAATTTAATCATACTATGAGTCCCTTCTATTAAAATTGTAATGAAAATTTTAATTAGAATTTTGAGAAGCCACCAAAACTTTAATAAAAAAAAATAACCTTTAAAACGTGAGGCATATAGCATACTTAGACAAAATTTTAATCAATTATCTTTTCATTTTCAATAATTGAGATTCATCATTTTTTAGGCAAAAAAATAATTATATTTAATAAATGTAAATAAATCTCAACCAAATAAACAGATAAATGATTTAAATTTTGTGTAAATATAATGTGTAAAATTTATATATAAATAGATATTTACTCTTAAAACATTCATCTTACTAACACCAAACTTATATTTCATTTTTTCAAATCACTAAACCTATATATATATATATATATATATTGAGAAACACTAAATATCATGTTACATTTTTTTGGCCTTTTATTTTATGCGAAGTCCCTACTTCAATCCTATAAACTTTTAACATAACTTAATAATATAAATAGTTTTCAATTGCAATTTGTTTATTATTCAAATTGTCTCATAAAATAAATCGAAAAATATAAAATAAAAATTTATCTCAGATTATAGGATTGCAATTCATAACATATATATATATATATACATATATCCTTATTTGTGAAGAAAAAAAAAGGAATTTTACAAGTTTTTTTTTTTTTTTAAAAAAAGTTAAGGTGCTTAATGAATCCAAAATTTAGTAAAAATAATTTTAAGGCATTGAAAATTAAAAGAAAAGCTATTTAAAAATTTATCTTGAACCTCCCAAAATTTTAGTTAAGATTTTCGTTTGTTAGGAACTAAATGGAAGTAACTAATTGTAGGATTAAGTTTAGTAATTTTGAAAGGTTGGGGACCATTTTTAGTCTAAATGAAAAGTTAGGATAATATAAGATCTTTATTATAAATATTGAGGACTAAATGTAGAATTTAGTTTGCATATTAATAATGTAAGTTATGTTATTTCTTACGGTAGTGATAAATGATTAAATTTAATATCAAATAAAAGTGAAATAATCTTTGATAATCCCCTATAACATTGTAAAAAATCACAAACCCTACAACTTAGTGCGCCATATTGCCTAAATCTTAAATCTCAAAGAAAAAGGAATGAAAGAACATAAAATTAAAAAGAAACTAAAAAAATTTAACAAATGCTTCATAAATTTACTAACCTCCAAAAAAATGAGTAGAGTTGAAGGCGAGCTAAAAATTCAGAAAAGGAGGAAGAATTGTCATCTGCTCTGAGAAAAATAGAGAAAGGGAGTGCCACAATGACAAATAGGGTTTTCGTTGTTTTATCTTAAGAAATTTCCTTAAAAGTTGAATTCAAAAATAAATTTCCAAAATAAGATAGGGAGAACCGTTGTGAAAAATTACTTTACATTTAAATTGAGAGGAATGGAGAGGATGTGAATTATATACATCCTTCCATTATACACCCCTCCCTTCTTTTTGAATAAGTTAATAAATTAAAAAAAAAGAAAGCAAAACACTTTATTCCCCCCTCTTTCTAATTTTTTTAATAACCAAATAAGAAATTTTTTTTTTCCTTTTTCCTCCCCTCCTCTTCATTTCCCTTAATCCAAACCAATTGAGTGTTTTGGAGTCAAACAAATTATCTAAAAAGATAAATACAAAAATATATTTAAAAAAAGGGACTAGAAAAATCAGTTCCCAAAACGTCATTTTAAAATTTATCCCTATTTAGTACCTACTACTACCAAATTGGCCATTTTAAGTTAAATTTTCTTTCATATATGTGTGTATGTATTGGGTGTCAATCAGTATTACAAAAAAATTAGGCAAATGGGGAACAAAACGATGTCAATTTGGTGCTTTTAGGTCTGGATCTGGATCTTATGGGTTTAGAATCGTTGGGTCAGGTGAAAAAGCAGGTCGGGAACACTAGATGGAGTGCACATGGAAGCTTTACCTGACCAAAATTCCAATTGAGTCGTTGGCTTTACTGCTTGTTTTCCCTAAAATCTTGCTAGGGACAGCTCATGGTAAAATTTGAAATGAAGGCGGGTTATAACTCATGAATGGATGGATGAGTTGACAGATGATTCTTTTAATTTAACCAGAGGTCTTGGTTTTAAGACCTAAGAATGCAGTTCTGTTAAAACTCGTGAGGGAGGGTTTTGCCATCCGTTGAGTCTTGCCAAGCTTGAATCCGGATTAGTCGGTGGCCCAATGGGGGCTTATGGATACTGGATGATCCAAACAAAAAAAAAAAAAAAAAGAGGCAAGAAAGGAATTTTCCCAGCAACCCCCTTTTTCCACTCAACTTTTTCTTATGAAAAAAATGTTGGAGGAATTTTTTTTTCTTTTGTCTTGATTTGGGAGGTAATCATTTTTTTTCCTTTATCTCACCACAGCTGTATGTAATACGATTCAAATTCAGAATCTCTTTTAATAGAAAGAGATGATTATTGAATTATTTATGTCGTTAGTGTTGAAAAAATATTTTTTAAAGATGAAATGCACATCGAATTAGATGATATGATAAAAATAAGGGATTAGTTCTGTATAATAAGTTTAAGATTATTTTAGAAGCATGTCAAGAACTTTAGTTATAGCAAATATGTATCAAGAATATTAAACTAAGCATACCAAAAACCCACTATATATGCAGAAAGGGAAA